GAAGTAACGATAGTTCGAACTAGGAAGCCTAGTTCGAACTACTTAGTTCGTGCCCCGTGTAGCCACGCTGCATGGGATTCGATCCAGCGGGGTTTTAAAATGGCGGCTCCCCGCTTATGCAAATGAAGCCCGGGAAATTCAAATCCCGGCTTTCATTTGCAAGTGCGGTATGCCTACATTACCCCGCTAGTTCGAACTAGCGGGGTAGTGTAGACATACCCTTTATGTTTAATCAATATTGTTTTTTGGGGTGAGAGTAAATGTTTGCAGAGAAGTTTACAATTTGTTCTATGCCAGTTTACAATCAATTGTTACATTATTAACCAGGGTTCCAAAGTTCAAAAATAAAGATAACTAACTTTTAATACAAATATATTACTCTGGAACCAAGAATGAGTAAGGAAAAATACTGGCCCCATCGAAGTCAGTGGGAAATTTTGTCATTGACTTTCACGAGACCAAGATTTCACCTGTGTTTTTTTAAAAGAAATTGAAGGAAAATATATATCACCGAATCACACTGCAGCTCACAGCTCAGATGTTGGAGGAGGGAAAAATCAACAAGCTTCATTTTTATAGTGTTTACTTGAGATAAGAGATTTAGAAAATAATTTAACACCTGTAGTTTCCACTGACACACAAGGAAGTGGTTTTCTGAGGTTTTTCTCTTTTTCAAAGTTGGATAGTCATATAATTAACAACAAGCACCAAGTAAGAAGCAGATCATCCAAGTTTGTTCACCTCCCCAAGCAAAATAAATAAATGTACAAATTAGATTTTTTTCAAAATGTACATGGGATAATAGACAGTTCTGAATCAAGCTGCTTAAGTAAAGCATATGGCATAAACTCCTGCAGATCAAGAGTAGCTGGCCATAAAAAGATGCTGTTAAATTTAATTGAACATGTATCATAATTGAATTGTTTATGCACAGTGCATTGCACTTTCTTTTACAAGACTACCTAATACAAAGTTTCAAGAAAAAATAACCTATAGAAGTTGTACTGCAATTTATCACAAGACAACTAATACTTCTTTTGTATGCAACCTCCATCAAAACTGCAACTTAATATGTTATGACCAATCACTTGATTCTCATAATTTTTAAAAAACTTATAATAATTGTATCTGTGAAACACATAAACATGTCACAAAACTTTATCAAAACAAACACATTAAATATAACTTCATCTATTAAAAAGCTTTTGATTACCACACATTACAATTTAAAATTTTGTTATTTATATTTTTTGTTAAGTTTAGGCTCATATTATGCAGTGAAAATTGAAAACACATAGCCTGGGAAAATCAGTTTTCTGAAAAGCTCTCCCTGTATGTACTGGGTAAATAATGTAATCTGTGGATGGACAGAACTACATAGAAATCTCCCTGGTATGTATGTGTGTCTTTAGAAAATATAAAAGATCCTTCTTCAAGCACAATGAGAAAATATATTTGGATTAAAAATCAGCCAAAGATTGTTAACTGAAAAATTTTCCCTTCTTTGCCCTGACTTTTTTTCCTACGCATTCTTCCCAAGAGTAAAAGAGTAAAAAATGGCAAAAGGTTTGCAAACAATCAAATTGTTCCACAAGATGGAGCTCCTCACCATTTAACAAAAGGCTTATTAACAATATTCCAGTAGCAAACCAGAAAAAATAGAATGTAACAATTTTGATGGCATCATGTTTTGTCCAGTGGGTGAGAGAGAAGCTTATCTTCAAATATTGTGTTTGAAAATACAATTATTTGTAAATAGTCTGACTGGGCAAATAGACTAGAACTTTTTGCTGCTGTACTTTAGCTTTGCTCCCCTGACTTCAGGGAAGCAAGCTATCCTAATTTACACCAGACGAGGAACCAATCCATTTTTTCATTAGTGATTTGGATTATTTGGGCAGGTGACTCTAAATCTGGCAGAATGTTTCAATACTAGACTTATGTTCTTTATAGTCCATCTGGTTAGAATAAACCAATTAAGACCATAGGGAACAAGATGGACCTTTCTCTGTCTCTGTATCAACATCCTCAATTCCTTTTGTGAACCAAACTTCCGATGATTAAAGTGAGAGTCACAATTTGAGTATGGAGGATGGGGCCTTGTCTGCATGCACTGAATCCAACCCAACCTAAATACAAAGCCTGTATTCATTTTTCAACTCTAAGGAAGGGCCATTTCAATATCAGGAAATATTTTGTCCAGTTTGTGTTATAGTTGTTCTCATCCTTATTATCACTGAGAAAAAAGAAAACTCCAACGTGAAGAATTTCCAAAGCACCAAAGGTTGAAACCTGGCCCCACTGTAATCAATGGTGAAACATATACTGATGTTAGTCGGGTTAAGATTTCACCCAAAGCGCAATTTTGGTGTCAGTCTCCTGTGGAAAGTCAATAAGAGTTGGGCTGCTAACTCCCCATTGTGCCTCTTGTGTGGTCACCCCTCAAATATTTAAAACCTATGCATGAGAAGTTAAAGAATCATTTTATTATTGCATATTTTCTATTCTAGTTTGTCAAACATGGTTATAGGAAATATCTGTTGTGGATTTAGCTCCTCTTCTGTGCAGCAAATCATTCATAAGGTTTCATTGGGTACGAGTCTGAGCAAAATTGTCTTCCATACTCTTTTTTTGCTTTTGTATGTGAAGAAATGCAATGTGCAACTGAGGGGGATCAGTGGCAACCCTCCCTGTGTGATATGACAAGAGATTGTCAGTTGTGAAACTACTGACCTGTTCTCATAAACTGTCATCTAGACTACATGCTTTTGTCGACAGATACTGTCGACAAAGCTTCTGTTGACAAAGAGCGTCTAGACTACAGCCAGTTCTGTCGACAATGCACTGTCGACATAACAGTGTGGACGCAAAGGACAGTGTAGATGCAATAATGCCTTCTATCGACAGAACTCTGTCGATAAAAGGCGTTGTTCCTCATAGAATGAGGTTTACATACGTCGACAAAACTGCTGAGTTTTGTCGACGTTATGTCGACATAACTCAAAGGCAGTGTGGACACAGGTATAGTTTTGTCGACAAAAGTGGACTTTTGTCGACAAAACCCTGTAGTCTAGACACACCCTTAGGAATGAAAGCAAAGGAAACTCTTGAATAATATTTTGTTAGTATTATCCTCTTGTGAACGCTCATTCTTGGATCTCCCTCTGCAATTTTTTCTGAGGGTGTGACTGCATGAACCAGCTCCACACTGGGAAGACTGAGCCTATCCAGGCTCACATGGCTGAAGAAACCCTGCCCCTGCGGCCCTGCTGGGCATGTTCAGACTGCAGCGCAGGTATAAAAGCATGGCGAGGGGATCAGTCTGGGCTGACTGCACAGGACGAAGGAGGCCCTGCCAGAGCTCCTGCAGGTGAACGGCCAGAGAGACCGGACCTGGAAGCCAGCCAATGAGACATCAGTGCTACAGAGGACCTGAAGGAAGGACCCAGGAGAGAGTCCAGTGGAGTATGGTAGGGAGTAGCCCAAGGCGGGAGATTATTTCCCAAGAAATTCAAGGTGTTGCAGTAGGATTTCCCGCTGAGTCAGCAGAGGCCCACACCACTGCTACCAGGACCCTGGGCTGTGATCCAGTGGAGTAGGGAGGGCCTGGGTCCCCTTCCCCCATGCCTCAATACCCCAACCCATGAGGCTTTCACCTGCCGTATAGTGACTCCAGCCACTAGGCTGCACTGCCCCAGTGAGAAGGGTGTTTATTAGTGACTCTGGCCACTAAGCCACATGGCCCTGGTGAGAGGAGTGTTCCGCAATGACTTTTGGAGTTAGGCCCTATGGCCACAAGAAGAGGTCCAGGGGTTTAGTCCTAGAGAGAAATTGCTGGACACATGGGGTTGGGGTGTAAATTCAAGATCCCTTAGGACTCAACTTCTCCCCCTGGGAGTGCAGGGGGGGGCGGGGGGATGACACTGTGATGAGGGGACTATGTAACCTAATGTCATTAAATAGAGTCATGCAACATCACAAGTACGATGTTCCATGACTAAATCACCCACTGTTGGGATAAAATACTTTGGCTTATCCAGAATCAGATCAAATAGATATGCAGGGCTAGCATTAACTGAGAGGTAGACAATTCAGACATTAAGGGCATGTCAACACTTATCACGTCCTGAGGTCAATCTTCTGGTGTTCAATTTAGCTGAGAGCAGCTCTCGCCAGCATCCAGGACTCATCCTTTCGCAAGGAGTAAGGGAAGCTGATGGGAGCATTTACTCCTGGCTCCCTCCTGCAGTGTGGACCCCACCAAGGCTTATCATGAAGTAAGCCAACTCCAGCTACATATTTTATGTAGCTTGAGTTGCATACCTTAAGCAGACCATCCTGCTCTAGTGTAGACCAAGCCTAAATGTGCTAAAGGTAAAGAGAAAGATTTTTTTTCATCCAAATTGTTACAAATAGGTAGTTCCTTTTCTTATCTGTAAAGCCCAGGTCTTGCATCTTTTTATATGCAGAATATCCACAACTTCAATAAGGGTATGTCTCCATTGCAGAGTTTTTCCGGAAAAATAGCCATTTTTCCAGGAAACCCACACGTAAGTCCACAATGCTATTTTATTCTTTCTACGAGGAAGAAGCCTTTTTCTGAAAAAGGCGTGTGTGGACGGGGAAGAGGACTTTCTTTTGAAAGAAGAGGAAAAAGGAAAAAAGCACAGGTGCCCTGGTGGCCACTCCATCCACAGTGATCATAACTGAAATGTGAGATAGTGTCCATTCAGTGTGGACGTTATCTTTCGAAAAAACACATCGCTTTTTCATTGCGCTTTTGCTGTGTAGATGCTCTATTTAAAAATAAAATTTTCCGAAAGATCTCTTCCGGAAAAGCTTCTTCTGAAAGAAGCCTGCATACTAGACATAGCCCTAAGACTTCCACCTGCCAAATGATGAGACCATAAAGCTGACAGAGCACACATTTGTCAGCACAGTGTGCCTCTCATATTAGGAAAGTAGAGCCGATTCCCTGACATGTAATTGAAATTATATTCTATTCCTTCTGGTTTCATGATTATTAGTTGCTCAGGGTTATTTAGGCAACCTATGATAGGACTGAGTCTGGTTGCTGTACACGTTCAGAGCCTGAGATGAGCTTAGGTCTCTGTTCTGCTTTAGCTTATGTGAGCTGCTTACTAAGATGGCTGGAATTAATAGCTCTGAGAAGCACCATGAGCTATAATTGAGGGAAAATATCATGAATGAATACAAAAACACGCTGCTGTATTCTTCTTGGCCATGCATGAGCTTGAAAGCACAGAAAGTATTAAACCCTCCAAACCATCTTACCGTAAGTAAAGTAAGCAACTTCTGGAGGGAGGGTGACATTAGTGAGGTCATCATCCGGAACATACTGATCTACATATTGTTGTGCTTCAGTTGCTTTGAGAAAAGCCATGAACCGTGCAGTGAAGGATGCCACGAAGATAGAGAGCATCCCAAAATCCAGCAGGTTCCAGAGATGCATGACATATTCACGGGGGCCCTCTTCCCAGATTTCTTTGCATTCTGACCATATCATACCTGAGGGAAAGCCACAGAGACATAGGCTATTTAGACATCATATGTACACGGTGCATTCTTGATCTTGTTTACTTTTGAACAGGTGTGGCTGGAAATGGAATGAGATCTTGTGCAGGCAGGTTTAAAACCAATAATTTCAAACTGTGATGTTCCCCAACTCTCAAATGGAATGCATTTTCTCCAATTAACTGGTAAAGAGCATATTTTCTTAAGCCTGTTCTTTTAAAAATACTGCTTTGAAAAAGACACAGTCTGGTACCTAAAAGGCTTCTGTACTCACGTAGGGTAGACTTTTCCAAAGTTCTCTGAACTGACTGACCTAACTTGTCTCCTGTTAACGGCAATGATAAAATACTCAGGCTATGTCTACATTGCACAAGAACGGGCATTCTTCCACAGAGCGTCCACACTGCCCACCCGCTCTTGCGCAACAAGATTTACAGTAAAGTGTGGTGGGAGAGGGCTTCTTGTGCAAGAGCTGCACTCTTTTCTAACAGGTGTAAACTCTCTTGTGCAAGAGGGCAGTGTGGAGGCACAGCAGGAGTTTTTTGTGCAAAAAGCCCTATGGCTAAAAGCCCTATGGCGCAAGAGAGCGTCCACACTGCCATGGATGCTCTTGCGCAAAAGCACATCTCCCACATGGCAGTGTGGACATGTTCTTGCGGAAGAGTTCTTGCACAAGAACCCTTGCACAAGTGTTCTTGCGCAAGAACCTGCCAGTGTAGACAGAGCCTCGCTGACTTCATTCGGTGAGAGCAGAATCAGAATACTGAGAACGTAGGAAAATCCTTCTCCCAGAGTACCAACAGAACTAAGGCAGTTTGGGATCCCAGATCTTTACCCATTTCTTAAATGAACATAAACTCAATCATCTGGAAATGGGTTGTGTGTGTGTGTGTGTGTGTGTTTGTTTTGTGGGTGAGTGGGGGTGTGTGTGTGTGTGTGTATTTGTTTTGTGGGTGAGTGGGTTTTTTTTGTGGGGAGGTTGTTTTTTGTTTATTTTTGTTTTGGGTTTTTGGGGTTGCTTTGTTTTTTGTGGGGTTTTTTGTTTTCTTGGGGGGGGGCGGGTTAGCTCCTCCCCCATCTCCCATCACTATCTGAAAAGAAAAATAGAACCTTGATATAGATTTCAGCAGTTTATAGTTTATGAAGGAAAGCAGAACTTGTCATAATAATGTGAGAAAGTTAATTCTATTGTAACCAGCAACAGTAAGTTTTGGACATCTCATGAGGAATTCTGTTCTCCATGAACCTTCTTGTTAAATTTTAGAAATTCAGATAAACTTCTGCATTTTGGAATGCTTATCCACATGGAACTCTGATCCATAGCTCAAAAGAATCTAAGCTTTAATCTTTAGATTGGGTCAGTTTGATAAATATATTTCCAGTGTGAATTTAACTAGATTCAACTTCCAGCCATTGCATTGTTTTGCCTTTTACTACTAGATTGAAGAGCCCATTAGTAAATATTTTTTGTCCAGTGTAGATACTTATGGACTATAAGGCATGCTTTCTAATTTTTCAGTAATTCTTGCGGCTCTTCTCTGAACCTTTCCCAATCTAGCAACATCTTTCTGGAACTGGGGGCACCAGAACTGGGCACAGTATTCCAGCAGTGATCACACAAAAGAAATGTGTACCATTATATATAGTCATTATATATTATTCCAGGGTTTTTTAATGAAGCTGTTGTATATCAAGCCAAATGTCAACAATATTACATTTATCAACCCAACTTATAATCTTAAAAAAGTAAAAGATACCAAGTTAGTTTGGCAGAATCTGCTGTTAATAAACCCATTTTGATGTGCATTACATTAGCTTGCTGATTTAAAAATATCTAACTTTAAAAGCTTGGGTTAGACACCTTCTAGAAAAGCTAGAGAAATGCAAATTGTGTTATGACAATATGATGAGACGATATCATCTGTAGATTCCCAAAATTCAGAACAAGTGATATTTATTGAACACTTCTGCTTTTTTGGTATTGTTTTTTAATTCCATCATTTCCATCTAGTAGTGGACCAATATCATTGTCAGAATCCCTTTTTGTCCCAAATATGTGTTAAAATTCCTCCTTATTGTTCATAAACCTCTAGCCTTAGATTTCTCCTTGTGTTCCTTCACTTATCTTTTTTATCATTCCTAACTTTGGATTTATATTCCTTACTATCAACTTCCCCTTTCTTCCATTTATAAATCTAGTAATTTTACTTTAAAAATGTATTTATTATTGAATTATTTATCATAGCTGTCTCCACCTCTAAATTAGGTCTTTGTTTTAGCATAGTCTTCTTCCTCATTTCAGGAACTGTGGCTCGTGGGCATCTAGTAAAGGGTTCCTAAATGATTCCTAATTATCATTCACATTTTTCTGATTAAATAACTCCTCCCAGCTGATTTGGCTCATAACTGTTTTCAGCTTTGTGAAATTGGCCCTATTAAAGCAACCAATGTATCTATTACTGGCTTGGACTTTATTCTGTTAGAGTATTATATATGTGATCAAGTTATGATCACTTGTACCCACGCGATCATGAAATTTATAATTCTATGATCAGTTCTTTATTATCTCTTTGGACAAGGTCTAATACATTTCCACAACAACCCAATTCAGATCCTCTGCCAACCTCAGAACAAAATTCAGACCCAGAAGGACTTACAATACAGAATCTTGGTTCCAGCCTGTCTCTTCAGAAGAGAGTATACTGGCTGTATCTAACTCACGCTAGCAATGCTAATTCCTGTCTTTCATTTTACCAAAATGAAGCTGGCAACTTTTATGCCAGAAGGAGAAAGACTGATTGTGTTGGCTGAAATCCAGTATAGTTCTAAACTTCCCCAAACACCTTTGATAACTCTAGCTGAATGACTGGCTATGCCAGATTGGTGGTGAACTTCTGCCTATCATGTCATGTTGTAAAAAAGCTTCAGAAGAGTAGCTGAGTTAGTTTTTCCATGTCATGTTGTATAGATTATTGTCCCTCATGCTATGGATTAGATAGAATCCAATGGAGGTGTTTCATTTCCAAAAATAATTAAAATTCTTCTTGGTGTGTTAAACATACTGGCTGGCTGTGTCTAGACTGGCAAGTTTTTCCGCAAAATCATATGATTTTGCGGAAAAACTTGCCAGTCTAGACACAGCCAGCCAGTATGTTTAACACACCAAGAAGAATTTTAATTATTTTTGGAAATGAAACACCTCCATTGGATTCTATCTAATCCATAGCATGAGGGACAATAATCTATACAACATGACATGGAAAAACTAACTCAGCTACTCTTCTGAAGCTTTTTTACAACATGACATGATAGGCAGAAGTTCACCACCAATCTGGCATAGCCAGTCATTCAGCTAGAGTTATCAAAGGTGTTTGGGGAAGTTTAGAACTATACTGGATTTCAGCCAACACAATCAGTCTTTCTCCTTCTGGCATAAAAGTTGCCAGCTTCATTTTGGTAAAATGAAAGACAGGAATTAGCATTGCTAGCGTGAGTTAGATACAGCCAGTATACTCAGTTATTAGCAGACTGTCTTCTCAGTGGTGGATGCTCTTTTTCCTTGATGGCTTTTCCTTTTAATTTGTCAAATCCTGAGGGTCTTACAAAGATCCAGCTTGTCCTCTGAGTGCATCCCCATGCAGGGGGAAGGGAATAAGATGGGGGCCCTGCTGAGGAATTTTTTCTTGTGTCTGGAACAAAGCCTGTCCCGAGGGATAGAGTTAGCATGGCCCATAGACCTTACAACTACCTGAACATCTACAGGAATCTCAAAGATCCATGGTCAGGTGCAAGTTCCTCAACATCAAGGCCCTGTCTGAGCAGTAGCTTGGACCCCACGTGGTACTGGCTCTTTTCCCTGGAGCAGCTGAATTCCACTGTAAGAGATTCCCTTATGAATGACAACTGCTGAGGAACAGTTGTAATACATCAGAGGGGTAGCCATGTTAGTCTGGATCTGCAAAAGCGACAAGGAATCCTGTGGCACCTTATAGACTAACAGATGTATTGGAGCAGAAGCTTTCGTGGGCAAAGACCCACTTCATCAGATGCATGTAGTGGAAATTTCCAGAGGTAGGTATAAATATGCAGGCCAGAATCGGACTAGAGATAACGAGGTTAATTCAGCCAGGGAGGGTGAGGCTCACTGCTAGCAGCTGATGTGGAAGTGTGAATACCAAGAGAGGAGAAACTGCTTTTGTCCTTGGCTAGCCATTCACAATCCTTGTTTAATCCTAGAGGGTATGTCTACACTACAGCACTACTTCGAACTAACTTAGCAAAACTAACTTAACTCGTTTTGCTAATTCGAACTAGCATGTCCACATTAAGTGGACCCTGAACCGGGGTTAAGGATGGCCGGAAGCAGTGCCGGCAGGGCATCAGAGGAGGACTTAGAGCGTGGAGATGCTGTGTCAGGCTAGCCGAGGGCTGCGCTTAAAGGGACCCGACCCCCACTCCGGACAGACAGTTCTCAGGGGTGCCCCGCTTGCAAAGCAGTCCTGGCTTGGAGTGCCCGGAGTGCCCACACTGGGCACATCACAGCACTCAGCCATCAGCCTGGCTGCACTTGCCACAGGCTGCCATCTGGGGAGAGGAGGCAATTGGGGGGCTGCAGGAGAGCTTCCACCCCAGAAGCCTGCAGAGCCAGCCCAGTCCTCCCCATCGGGGGCTCGTACCCCATTCCTCCCTCACCTCCTTCCACTTACCCTTCCCTAGCCCCTTTTCTTGATGTACAAAATAAAGGACAATTGTGTTCAAAAATGGAATCTGTCTTTATTGAACAAAACTGGGGGAGACTGGGAAAAGGAGGTGGGAGAGGGGAAGAGAGAGGGTGTGAGAGGGGAGGGCAACTACAATGATCAGGGGTTGGGAACAGGTCCCATATGAAGAGAGGCTAAAGAGACTGGGACTTTTCAGCTTAGAAAAGAGGAGACGGAGGGGGGACAGGATAGAGGTCTCTAAAAGCAGGAGTTGGGTGGAGAGGGTGCATCAAG